TCTTGTGTTTGAACTGTTGAACTGTTCTCTGATCGGTGTTGGAGAATCAACATTTTTGTAAAGTCATCCGAGATAACTATTGTTGTTGTTTAGGGCAATACACAAATACATAGAATTTAGTTGTGGCATTAAGTTATCACCAAACATTACTAGACTTAACATTAATAAACCTCATGTTAAATAAGTCCATCCATCCATTTTCTTCCCCTTAATCCATTTCTGGGTCTGGGGGGTGGCAGTCAGAGCTGTACCCAGTACACAGAGCACCAGTCCCTCACTGATCCTCCTGCAGGTGGTGAGTCCACAGGAGCTGAGATCTTTCAGTGGGAGCTTCGGGAAAAGTGGGGTTAAGTGTCATGCCTTAGGACACAACGACAGTAGTAGGAGTCATGAAGTAGCTCTTGTCGTGGGCTCGAACCCACAACCTTCAGGCTTAAAGCAAACTGAGCCACTGTCACCCGATGTTATATGTGAGAATGTTAACAGCATGATTCTCCTCGAGTCCAAACCTCCAATCGCTCCATTACTTTGACCAAACACCTGCTTTCATCCTAAACCTGTGGCTGATGGCCGTTCTGATCTGTGGCAGTTTGAGTCCATAGATCAGAGGGTTATTAATAGAAGGCACCATCAGATACTCCAGAGACAGAACAGCAGTGATTATGGGGTTGATTTTGTTTGTATCAAATCGAGTCAGCGACAACTCCAGAAAAACAGATACAGCGAAGACCACGAACGTCACTAAAAGTGGGATGCAGGTTTGCAAAGCCTTTCTTCTCACTAGAGCACTGCTTCTCTTACACACAAAGAGAATCTTCATGTACGAGAAAAACACAAAGAGCAGAGGGATAAAGATGGTGGTTATGGTCAGAAACTGCCCTACAATATTGTTGGCAGCTGTATCCACGCATGAGTTTTTCACCACAGGCCAATTTGAGCAGAAAATACGATGCAGCATGATTATCGTCATGTAGATCAACAAGCAAAGTGTGAAAAACAAATATCGAAGTCGTCCATGGTCTGTGAAAAGTGTGAGTTGGAAAAAAATAGGATTTTGGCTAAAGTTGCTTATCATTGTATCTTTCAAATGAAGCGTTTGATCCCCTAAAGCTGGAACCTCTGAGCAGCTCAACTATTTAATGCAGACAGTTTAAGCCCAACCCATAACAGACAATCCAATCACACCACAAGGTTTTCTTCCATACAACAATTGAAGAAGTTTCTAAATTTGTTGAAAGGGACAGGAAACTCGTCTACAGTGGCTTGAATATCCCTACCAATCTAAAGGCGTTAAGCATTTCTCCCTTCAAGAGCCATGAAGAACCATGAAGAAGACCCATTAAGAGGTGATACGTACATAAAGAAGTTCTGATCACTCACAAATTCACATTCACACCTCTCGACCCCTGAGCGGTAGTGCCACCCCGTGCCACCACAGCAGGCTCATGGCCCTGATTACCCTACAGTAAAACCTGGTTAACTTTCTGGCTTGCACCAGTTCATGTTTTTGCTTCTCTATCCTGCTCAAAAACTCTGGCTTCCTCCACTATCTAACCTCTAACATCCAACACTCTCTTCAGGTCATTGTATCCATCCAGACCTTGGCCTACCTCTCAGTCCACTACCACTCATCTCTCTCTTCATCCATTCTCTGCATCTGTCCAAACCATCTCAGGACCAGTGGGGGCAGGTCCCTGCTCAAATACCTCTTTACAGGATGGTCCAAAAGTCGGCTCTTGGCCCAAAGCTACGTTCCAGATGTGTGTCAATGCTGAGGGGGGTATAATATTTTGGACCAGTCTAGTCGCTGTGGAATTCTGAAGTAGAGTCCTGCACAGGCCTTTTATTATATGGCCCGAGGGAGTGGCCCGAGGGAGCCCGAGGGAGTGTCTGAATTCTCAGTCCTGAACCCGTATCAGGCCCGACACTTTATATATTTATTAATTTTTTTACCTCCCACAACAATGTTTTGGCGTAGTGTATATGGCGCACTGATATGAACACAGGCCCGGCTAGAGGGCGGAGTTATACATGGTAGTGATGTGTTGTAATGAGTTCTGTGTGTACGAAGTGAGTGAACGGCCGCAGCTGTGAAACCCAGATGCAATAAATTACGACACACTTGAAGGTAACGCTGTGTGTCGTCAATGACAATACTATACAGAACAACAAATACTACAGCGTGATAGAACGCTATATTCATTGGGTGCGTTCGGGTATATTACCTTGGCCCGTGTCCAAGGTAATTATACGGTCATCGGCCCGAAGCCCAGTCCTCGGGCTGTCGGGCCCCTCGGGCCTATGGCTCAAGTGGGCTCTATTTTGAAGGCACTCGTCCTGGCCGAGTTCCTGGCTGACGCATGTGCCCCCCCGCGGGCCTTTTTGAAACTGCCCATAGAAACCAAAAGTGATGGCACATTCATTTCAACATCCGAGATAGACATGACCACATCCGATTATATTTACAGTCTATGCACAGTAAAATTGACAGAGTTGTTTTCGACTCTTATAGAGTCAATTTGACTCCGTCGTAGATATGTATAGGTCCCACCCTACAGAGAGTAGATTGTACTCTGCTCCAAGAGCACATTTTTCAGAGTTAAATTTACTCCATATGGAGTTATAACCTCACAAACATTAACTCCACAATGAGTGAATACAAATGAACTCTGTATGAAAAACAACTCTTTCAGAGTCATCTGAAATCTTAATAGAGTCAGCTTAGTTTACCTCCATTCAGAGTTAATTCCCAAACTTACTTGTTCTTATCTAACCTTTATACAAAGTTTGAGGACAGACGGGTAAATTACAAAATATTTATTGCAACATATTTTGTTCACACTTGTATCAATGTAAAAACATTCAACTTTTGTTTTTGTAAACTACAAAATAGTCAGCATAAACATAAAAACTCATTTTTACACGGAAGACTTTTTTTCCCCTGACCATAACTTTACAGAAGATGACAGTATGGAACAATAAACCTTTTGTTGTCCTCCATGTTGTGTGCCATTTGTAAGTCAAATGGTTTGGGATAGGAAAGAACAGAGACATCAATAACACTATGCAACTCTTCTCTCGGTACAGACACAATGAAAGCATACACATGTTCATCAAAACAAACTGTTTCTAACTTTGTAACTATTAAGAAGACATTGTCATCCTTCACCACAATATCTTTGATTTTTTCAAAAATGGGCATGTCATTTAACACTGCACTACATATCACCAAGTTGGTTCGAAACTCAGTTCCGTAGTATTTGGCCCATTTCACAGACCAGACAGTTTTCGTAAAGGACAAGCTTAGAGTACAAGACAACTGTTCCTTGGCAGGAAAAGAAGAAACTGATTTCTTTTTACCTGGGCCAACAATCAACCTCTCCTTAGGAAATCTCTGCCAATGATAAGCCATGTAGTTCTGATGCTTCTTTGCTAAACTCCAAGTCAAGTTTTTGAAACATTTCTTCTGCTGTTTAAAATATTTGTGCTTACCCTCATACCGCATACACCATACATGAATTAATGGACCTATGTTTTGTATGCAGCGGGGATAATGAATCATTGTGTGTTGCTTTGGTAACAGATTTTTTCCAGGAAACAACCGTTTGAAAAGCTGATGGTGCTCCACAATCAGATACTTCAAGTAGACAGTCATGCCTTTGGTCAAATATGGGGCAAAGACTATGTTGACAATCTGGAGCAGTAAAAGTAATAGATTCCAGTGCTCATCATTTCTCTCAACAACATCACCAAACATTAGAGGAATGTTACGGAGCAGACACCAGGCCTGAATGGCATTAAGGCCCAAGTCATTGCTTGCATTCTCCAGTTTTAGAGCAGATGGTTGATTCCTTCGTTCTACATATCCATAATTGAAAGACTGAATTCTATCACTTATCTCTTTAAAAGAGATAGACTGCTCAGCAATATACTGAAGAGTGAGCTTTACCTCAAACTGTGCGACGCCTTCCAAAATGTCATGCATAACATCGACTGCAAAATTATCAACTATGTGGAAGTATTGGAGAGAGTTGAGTAAACACTCACTTTTCACACCATATACATGAGACAGATCAGGGGAGGCTTTTATGAGCTGACAATGATCAGAATGCAACTCTTTAGTTCTTAAACGCATGTTTGGGTGGTCTTCAGTAAATACTTTCTGATAGTCTTCTCTCTCCGTTAGGCAAAAACGACAGCAATATTTGGCACTAAAGGACTCCACATAGCCAAACAAACCATGTAGTCCAAGATTGTCACCTGTGACTTGAAAAATGCTCCCATTAATGCGCCCACCAAGTCCAGGTACATCAATTCCATCTACTTCCAAAATCTTAAGATCATTTACCAGAGGCTCAAGAATGGTTGCAAAACCATATTTTTTAATATCCAGAGTATGAAAAAGCATACATAAATGGATATTGGCAAGGCATGAATTGTATCTTGGTGGGAAGTTCCTTAAGGTAAAGTAAATTGCACCAAGTTTGTGTGAGCCTTTTTTAGACCCCAAAGGATTACATGGCTCAAAATCATCATAAAACAATTGTAACTGAAGAGATGGAGTGTCCTTGGAAAACAGGGGATTTTTCTTAAAATAGGTCCCATCTCTTAAATCTGAATATAGATTTGACCTTGATTGAACTGACGTAAACATGTCAATGGCACTAGACTGTTTTAGAACTGATTGAAGTGTAAGTAAAACTGGAATGTAAGCCAATGTATCAGTAACAAGGATTTGATCAAATGTGCCAGTGTTTTTGTTCCATCTGTTGTCAAACCTGGAACCAATGGCTTTCTTTACAGGAGCGACTCCGCCCCATTTCTTAGAAAAATATTTGCGTCGCTTCTCCACAGAATTCAATTGTGTAAATGGATTGGAAATATAACCCAGTGTTTTTTTAACTTCCTGAACTGTTTTTACATCACTTAAACCACTTAAAACTGTTTCCTTTATCTGATCCTGTATTCCGTTAACAACTTCCTCCAAAGAGCAAACTAGGTTATGCAAATTTTCTTGACCAACCCCGACAGACTGAAGCTCTGCCACAACAGAAGCACACATATTGTGAACATACTCTCCACTTTTTGAACTGGTGTGTGAAACAAGTAGATCGGGTTGCACAACAGGTGCTTCCACATTAACATCTACTATCAAATCATTACTTCCATAGCAATGGTTAATATCTGAAATGTCAACATTGAGAACACTGTGCTCATGCACCCTTTTCATATGTTTACGAAATCCAGAAAAAGTTCCAGAAGTGTGTGCACACCCGGCTTCACCGCATTTTAGTCTCAGTGTCCTTCCAGGGCATAGTCCATGCATCAACTTCAGATGTCTTACCAACACATTTGTGTTAGAATGGCGTGACTTGCAAATAAAACAAATCATGTCCATACAATGAAAATAAAATCAATCAATCAATCAAAAAGTCTTTCAAGGCTACTGCAGAAATCTTGATCGGAGCTCAATGACACGAGGATTTTCTCTGACGAGTCCAACATCAATATTGAAAACGGTGGTCTGTATGAACGTGTACATGTTTCGGAGGGACTCACTGAACTCTGTGCCAAAGACAAAATGGGCTTTGAATAGCTCATCAAAGGCCCCAAGTGAAGTTGTTGCTCGGCAGGGTATGGCAATTTTGTCTATGACGATGAAAAACCCATGGAGGTTGGTTCTGGATGTTCCAATAGCAAGAAGGTACGGCTGACAGGTCTGGACAATGGCATCTAAATGTCCCTGAACACTGTTCCCAGTCTGTGGGAGAAGAAAAAAAGTAAACAAAACAATTGTACATATGGGACTGAGGTTGTACAAAAGACACGTGTTGCACCCGTTATGTATGTTATTGTTAAATGATTACTAGTCCCTTGTACCCAGAATTTCAATGGGAAGTGTGTGTGCACCCCGTTTGAAATAAAATTTAAATGTAAACGTTATCCCCGTGGAGTATTGTGTCCCCAGTTTTCCTAGTTTATTTTACTATGCACAGCATGTGTTGACCTCAATACGAATATGGATCGAATAAGTTTGTGATGTGCCCATAATAAATATATCTGGATCAAACACTTCCTTAGAAAGTGACTACAAACCTTTAGAAACCTCACAAGGTGTTCTATTGCATGTGTAGCTGATAATCTCCCAGGCTTTCTCCGGCCTTGGGAAGTAGGGGGGAGCAAATAGACCAGCAGCAACAGCGAGGACAAGTCACTGTCCCAATCTTTTTGAAGGGAAAAAACATAGCAAAAAAGAGCAAACTTAATTGGCTTATCCTCTTCAAATTGCGCCAATCAAAATATTTACAAACACACTGCAGAGACATCTAATCCTGCACAGTGCGTGTCCCTCATGAGATTGTAACTAAGTGCTAAAGCATGTCATTATTCAGTTAAGTTGCCTTCAGTGTTTTAGTAGATAACACTGAAGCCAAATGTCCAGCTCTTAAATTGGAAAAAACATATGAAACTGTATATACACTTGTACTTTGTAATGTTAAACAACAATATTACATACCCTCTATATCACCATTTTCTGACTGAGGTGACTCTGCTGTGCGGATGAGTTCTTTGAGTTCAATGCTGATATGTGACAGGGTTTTACTCTGCTCAATAGTCTTTTCCTTGAACATTGTTGGCCACCGTTCAAGAAGTTTTGCTGAAGTCTCTTCTCCAAACAGCAGAGCAAAGTCTTGTTCAATCTGGGGATGGGTGACAAATGTTTCAACTTTATAAAACGCAGAAATTCATAACTAGCATAAGTTAAAAGTTATATAACTAGTCATTACACATAAAACTTCAGAATCAGGGTAAATTGAGAATTTGACTTACCAGGCCCTTAACATCAGCAAAACGAGTAAATGTTGACAGCACAGCAGGTGACTGGTGAGAGTCATGGACCATTTTCTGGCGATGAACAAATGTTTGCTTCATTTTGAGTCGGACCACCTCTTCATCAGTTGCATGCCTCATGAGAGATATTGCTTCCTTTAGCTGTTCTTCATTAAGCTCTGGCTCTGTCACATCTCGTTCAGAGGCTGGTCCTCCCTTACATCTTTTGTTCTGTGCCAGAGTTGGCTGATCCTCTGAGGCTCTCTTTTGAATTGTCTTGATGCGCCAGGCAAGGTATCCAGTTCCACTGTCAGAGTCATAGAAATGTTCCTATACAGCAATATAAAGAATTTACTAAAACATTATTGAAATTAATGTTTGATAAATGGGTGTTTGTGGCTGGGTAGGAATTCAGGGTTAAGTACAAAAATATACTCACATAACCCTTTTCAGAAAAGGGGTCCTTTAATTGTGGGAAGACCGATACTATTCCCTTTGCATACCGTTCCTTCACAGTTCTTGATGGCGATGTGCTAAAAGCATAAAAACATACTATTAACATGGACTTCTTTCTTGCAATACAGCCTGTGTGTGAGGAGGAGAAGGTGTGTTCACGCAGAGAAGTGTGTGCGCGCGGAGGAGGAGAGGTGTGTGCGTGCGGAGGAGAGGTGTGTTCGCGCGGAGGAGAGGTGTGTGCGTGCGGAGGAGAGGTGTGTTCGCGCGGAGGAGAGGTGTGTTCGCGCGGAGGAGGAGAGGTGTGTTCGCGCGGAGGAGGAGAGGTGTGTTCGCGCGGAGGAGGAGAGGTGTGTGCGCGCGGAGGAGGAGAGGTGTGTGCGCGCGGAGGAGGAGAGGTGTGTTTGCGCGGAGGAGGAGAGGTGTGTTCGTGCGGAGGAGGAGAGGTGTGTTCGTGCGGAGGAGAGGTGTGTGCGTGCGGAGGAGGAGAGGTGTGTGCGTGCGGAGGAGGAGAGGTGTGTGCGTGCGGAGGAGGAGAGGTGTGTTCGCGCGGAGGAGGAGAGGTGTGTTCGCGCGGAGGAGGAGAGGTGTGTGCGCGCGGAGGAGGAGAGGTGTGTGCGGAGGAGGAGAGGTGTGTGCGTGCGGAGGAGGAGAGGTGTGTGCGTGCGGAGGAGGAGAGGTGTGTGCGTGCGGAGGAGAGGTGTGTTCGCGCGGAGGAGGAGAGGTGTGTGCGTGCGGAGGAGGAGAGGTGTGTGCGCGCGGAGGAGGAGAGGTGTGTGCGTGCGGAGGAGGAGAGGTGTGTTCGCGCGGAGGAGGAGAGGTGTGTGCGCGCGGAGGAGGAGAGGTGTGTGCGCGCGGAGGAGGAGAGGTGTGTGCGTGCGGAGGAGGAGAGGTGTGTGCGCGCGGAGGAGGAGAGGTGTGTGCGCGCGGAGGAGGAGAGGTGTGTTCGCGCGGAGGAGAGGTGTGTGCGCGCGGAGGAGAGGTGTGTGAGGAGGAGAAGGTGTGTGAGGAGGAGAGGTGTGTGAGAAGGTATGTGAGGAGGAGAAGGTGTGTTTGCGCTGAGGAGGAGCAAGACAAAGGTACGTATGCCCTACTTTAGTGCATAAAACGCCTTGCCAGTGTGTGGAGGATGATTTAATTGGGGACCCCTGCCCTACACCATATTAAGTTTCACTTTGGAGGACAGTGTTTCAATGTTAAATAAATTATTACCCATGGATTTCAGTCATGTTGGCAATAACCATATTGACCATTTTCCTTCGAGAAGCATCTGTTAGTTTATTTGTCCTTCGATATTCCTTTATGATCTGGTCTCCTCCTGGCCTCTTTTTCAGAATGTCCTCTATGACCTTCAAAAGAACATAAACACGAGTCAATGCATGTATTCTTGAGTTCCGTCAACTCATGACAGTGGGTGTCCGTATTTGTAGTTTAGACTTAGACTCTATTGATCTACAAGGGAAATTGTATTGTCACAGTAGCTTGCATACTATTTCACAATATAAAATAAAAAAGAACGCAACAATCGAAAAATAAGAATAATAATGAGATAATATTGTGAGAATAGAATAATCTGGTACTTAGGAATATACATATCAGTGAATATGTACACATTTACAGTATAAAATAGGGAAATAGGACAGTACACATCTGTTAATATAAAATATACAAGGACAAAGCAGATGTATCTGTCACAGAGCGGTGACTACAGCAGGATGGAGTGGCCTGTGCTCTTGTACCGCTCACTGTGGCAGCTGTAAGAATGTTTGAGAAGGAGCTCATTTGCTCCTCTATAGTCCGATGGAGTGGATGTGTTGAATCGTCCATGATGGAGAGCAGTTTTTCCAGTGACCTTCTGTCTCTCACTATACAAATTACTAACCATAACTTGATTGGCTCGTGCAATCAGTTTGTCAGGGCAGAAAAAGTTGAAGTTTAGCCACAAGGACATTATCTTTGAAAGAAATACTTACAGAATCTTTATTTCTGGAACTTGACTGTGTCTGCAGAGGGCTTTCAATGTTCAAAATCACAGCATCACAATCATCAATATCCAGGATGGAACTTTCTCGGCTCGTCTGCATCACCTCAGCATCAAGTTCTGCATTAGGAATTAGAATCAGATTAATTCATAGTCCCATCAATGGCAAATTTATCTTGGGCTGGCAGTGCAACCTGTACCTATGGAGTTTGATCACTGATCTACACTGATTAGAGGTGGGGGAAATTTCCAATTAAAAAATGTCCTTACACACACCTAACTTCTTTGTAACTAACATATGCAACACTAAAAGCAGCAAAAAGCACCCTGAGCTGTACACTAAAATTCAAATGTTCATGCATTTCCATTCCAATAGATATTTTCATAACAGTTATAAAATAGATTTTAATTACTTTAACTCTGGAAATGTGGAAAAAGTACATCAATGTACATATATTAAAAATGCATCAATAATAGTTTTAAAATCGAATCGCAGCCTCTGAATCGTAATTGAATCATGAGGTGCCCCAAGATTCCCTCCCCTATTAAGCCTGGTGTATAGTCGCGCAGAGCTTACAGTGGTGACATGCGTTATCATGTGGTTGGTTGTGGGATTACAACATTCTTTTCAAAACTCTGCAAGGAGACCACGCAAGTGTACCACCAACTGTGGCTGCGTTGGTCCAACGTAACCGCAACCAGCGCCGCATGAGTGTACACAGGCCTTTACTGATGTACTCTTCATTGGGACCTACCTTCCGGTGTGCTGTCCAATGACAGTTCATAAACATGGCCAATGTTTGACAGCATCACCTCTTCAAAAACATCTTCATCTATTTTAGTTTTTGTTTCATCAAAAAGTTTGGCATCAGATAAGCGGTTGAGAGGAATTCCAAACTTCTTGAAAGCTGTAAAAAACAAGTATATTTTGGATTACTGGACAATTGCTGTTCATGTGAAAAAGAGGCTTACAATAAACAAACAACTTCCCGAGATGGAAAGCAAAAGCAACTGCAATATCTGTTGCACCCCCTCTTGTTTTCATAACCATGCATAATGATCTCATGGAGAGTAACAAATTTACCTTCATCAAATAGATCCACAAGCTTGACTTCATATATTTTGACAAATCTCTGCTCCCCCTTATGTTTCACTTTGACCAGCATTTTTCCTGTGAAAAAACAAACATCCTTGAATTTACACTTGAGACACTCAAATTCGCTGATTTTATTAGGCCTCGAACAGAGGCATGAAAGAGTGACAAATAAATCAAATGTGAGGTCAGAGGAATTCCTCCCCCTGAGAATTTTTGGGATAAAAATATTGCAATAAAAATAAAGCAAACTTGTGCGCTCAGAATAAATGATTAAATAAAGTATACACCTTTCTTACAGCACAAACACATGCAGCGCGGGCTAGCTGTGGCGGGTTGTGTTTGCGTGGGTTAGCTGTGTTTGCCTGACCTAGATGTGGTGGTGTTGTGTTAGGGCTGGCTAGCTGTGTTAGCGCGGGATAGCCGTATTAGGGCGGGTTGGCTGTATTAGCACGGTCTAGCAGTGTTAGCGCGGACTAGCCGTGTTAGCGCGGGCTAGCCGTGTTAGCGCGGGCTAGCCGTGTTAGCCCAGGATAGCCATGTTAGCGCGGGCTAGCTGTGTTAGCGCAGGATAGCAATGTTAGCGCGGGATAGCTGTGGGACTGCATATGTGCGGTATAGCCGTGGTTAGCCAGATTAAGCGAGTGTAACGAATATCACATGAGCCAAACTGAGACTCCATTATCAGTAAAATAAGGCATTTCCTCACCTCCCGTTACTAACGTCCGCTCACGTTTAAAACGGCGTAGCCTAGACCTTGCTAACATGCTAGCAGGCAGTTACATGTGGTGCTGGTGACACATTTTGATATAATGAGGGAATTTTAACAAATCTACTACATTACCACACATATTCTGTTTGGAATGAATTGGCCTAGATTAGGCTAAAAACACAAACAGGCTAACGTTAAAGCTATCACCGGTGGACCTGTAGTCAGTTAAGTCAAATTCAGACTGAGGTTATATCAACCAGCTAAGACAATGTAAGACAAATTATGATATTCTCAACTAAATCAGACACACTCACCTTGACGCGTTCTCCTCAAAATGGTGGGTTTCAGTCTACTTTCCCGCTTTCATCTGATGGTTCTCACTGTTGGGGCTTCCCGCGCATGAGGTGAGAATGAACCAAACCGTAATGGGAGGGGTGTGTGAATGTAAAGCAGGAGCCAAAAGACTGCCTGCTTTTTTGTCTAAAAAGAGTTGATTAGCCTCAACATGTCAAGTTTATGCCTCAGTCTGGGTTAAAGCAGGTATAGGCACAGAGAAAAAATTAAACGTTTTAAGATAGCAAATTCTGTAATATACGATGGTGCAGTCTGAAATAGGGTGTGTATGAATTGACTCTTTTTTATTTTTACTCTGTTTTTTAACTAGGAAGGTAGAGTTAATTTCACTCCAGTCGGAGCATCTGTCACTCTGATAGAGTATATAATTTTTTACTCTGACATTTCGACTCCGGTCATTTTACTGTGTGGTACAAACACATCACCAGCCACAATTTTCTGTCATCTCTGTCACATGCTTTCTCCAGATCCATAAACGCCCATGATACTTCTTACCTCCTTCAAAATCCAGGTACTCTCAACTTTTCTACATGCTGTCACAAAGATAACTTGACCACCAAGTGATGAACAAATGTGAAGAAAAATCAAAATAATACCTGACTTTATAATAAGTTTGTGTAAGCCCTCAGTCGTACAGGGATTAGTCAAAGCAAAGGAAGGTTTCTCACCCATCATCTGTACTTCTTAGCAAGTTTTCCCGACGTTTCGTCCTCAAACCAGCGGACTTCTTCAGGGAATGAATTCTCGGACCGCGCGTTGGAGATTTTTAACCTCAACATCAACCTAATCCTGATACTAACTCATAAACAATCTAAGGTCTGCTTGATGTAGAAGGGAGCAGATCTAACGACCCTGCTGAGGCTAACGACCCTAACTCCTTAGCATGTCACAGACCTATTGTCTACCTGAATTATAAATTATGAAAAGTGGGGCTTGCAAATATATACAGCCGCTGTGAGTCAACACTTTGTGGAAACCTCACTTTCTGTAATAAAAGGAACACGTTTATTTTTAAGGAAATTATCCTGATACAAGGTAGATATCTCGCCTTCCTCGTCTTAAGTCTGTTTTTCAATCCAGCTTTCCATCAACCCCATGTGTGATCAGAACTGTCCTTGTTTGGCAGACAGTCGAGTCTGGTAGGTCTCCAGTTTTGCCATGCTTTTTCAATAACCCTAACCCGAATGATGGATTAAACATCTTGGTGTTTTTTGGGGTTTGGGACACTATACTGTGTGAATCAGGAGGACCAAGAGGGCTTGTCTAACAACATTTGACTTACTTCCTTGTTCATTCTGAAGACTTCTTGAAAACAGCAAAAACAATGTTTAGATACAGCCAGAGTTTAGAAGTTTCAGGAGTTGGTTAACAGAAGTGTCTTTTTCAACGAGTGAGACCGCTGCTCTAAGTTTGAAAGTCAGGAAGGGGATCAGCTGCATCCAAGATGAGCTCAATTCAATTCAATTTATTTTTGTATCGCCTTAAATCACAACACTAGTTATCTTGGAGGACTTTACAAAGCTGTCGATTCGCCAAAACAGATCAGAGAATCAAACAATCAAACATAAGAAATGCAATGCTCGGCAAGGAAAAACTCGTAATAAAAAGTGATAAAACTCAGTGAGGCCCACATGGAGAGAGGGACCCGCTCCCACAAATGGAGGGGCTGTAGATCCAGGACTGAGGCTGTAGAAACTAGTGTTTTTTCTCTTAAAGGCGCTATACCCGTTTCTGCAATGTTTGAATGTTTAGCACCGCCCCCCAACTCGCTCACAGGCTTCTCATTTCCCCTACGCTCTCATAACACGGAGCCACCTAGTTTTATTTGCGATCTGATACGTATGCTAACATTAGCATTAGCGCAACTTGTAAGCTGTGCAACAAT